CATGCGCTGGACAGTTTTGGATGCTCATGAGCAAGATTGATAAGTACGTATTTATTATATCATGCGCTCATGAAAAGTTGAGCGCGTGAACTTTGTTTCGTTCGAATAATCTTTTCGGAAGAACAATCCCAGGACGTTCCCCTTAACTTGGACAGTTTTGGATGCTCATGAGCAAAATGCAGTGTCATATCCTTTGCAATTTTTGATGGGGCAAGTTTCTATCGAGGATAAATAAAGAAGCGCTTGTCACGAAGACAGGCATTTATCTCGCGAGGAGATCGGAGAGGGTGATCGCGTAGGCGTCGCGTGAGAAAAGCAAACAGCATCCGCGGGAATAAAAAATGCATCAGTCGGGAGGGCAAGAAGCGACAGTAGGGGAGAAGAGTGGGCGGAAATATAATACATTTTCCTTCTTGTCTTTCCTATTCTGAAATTTTGCAGCATCCATTTCTTATCGTCTTCCCGCGGTTACATGGAACTCCCCTCGCGCTCCTGGGACTTTGCTCGCCGGCGAATTTTATCTGACAACTACTTTGGCGAATGGCAGAAGAGAGGGAAAGTCAGAAACGCGGAAAACTGCCAGATAGGGGGAGATAGGGGGGGAGGGAGGGGAGAATGGTCGCGAGAAGAAGAAGAAGAAGATGAAGAAGCGGAAGTAGAAAAAGTTGCAAAAAAAGAAGAGAAGCCGGTGAAGTTCGAAATGTGACGCGAAACGTGCGACAAGCCGCATTCGCCCGACTCCGAAGGGTTGGGCGACTCTCCTGCCTCTCGTTCTCCCTTCTTTCACCTTCGTCCTTTGTTGCACTTGAGGTGCAAGAGCTGCTCTAGCAAGCACGATCTCGTTAACGGGATATGCATCGTACGCCGTTCGTCGCGTCATACAACATCCCACCTTCTGGTTCCTAGCAAGATCAAAGCGAGGTCTGTCGCGACTAACAAACAGAGCCTTTCGCGCAGAAGGAGCAGGAGGGATGTTAACCTCGTGGTATTCGCTTAATTGTATACTCGTACCTCCATATGATGCCGAGAGCCCGCGCGTTGCCCCTGGCGCAAGCCGTTTTATCACAAAATCGTATTCCGCGACCGCCGAAACTGCGTACGTAATCCGTGACGACCATTTGCGCTCGCGATAATTATTAATCCCGTCGCAATTATAATTTGCTTTGATCTCTCCCTCTATTCTTAAAAACCTCGAAACTGCCTTTTACTAGACCAAATATTTTAATTTTCACTTTTTCAGATTATCATAGGATATAAAAAGCATTTAGTAGCAAAAAAAACATAATGTAAAAATGAAAATTCTGACATTTTATTTAATATCTAAAGTTACGAATTTTCTACAGAATGTATCAAATTTTGTATATAAGTATTGTATGTAAAATGGAATTAGAAAAACAAAATAAATGAAAATTTTTAAAATCAATTGAAATAACAAGTACTTGCATTGAATTCAGATAAATTCTTATTTCTATATATTTTATTTCTATATATTATTTTATTTATATATATTTTATTTCCACATATTACTTTATTTATATATATTTTATTTCCATATATTATTTTATTTATATACATTTTATTTCTGAATATTTGAAATGTAAATATAATAACTCGTAATACATATATAATACATATACATATACTAAGGTAAATATTTTGATTTCGTCAAGAGGAGTTGTGCAATCTTTTTCGTGAATCTCTCAAACAACATGAATTTTTCGAGTGTCCAACTAATTTCATCGACGGATATTCACATAAGCTATAAAACCTTCTTTCGCGAGGCAGTTTTTATGACGCTCGAAAGTAAACGCCCTGAAAGATGCGTGCGCGCGCGTTTGCTTAAATTCGCTAATATTAAGATAAGGCAGCGGCGTCAGGCGACGGAGAAAAAAGCGAAAGGCAAATAGCGAGGGAAGGGGGAAGGAAGCGATAGGGAAAATGTAATAAAAGGATAGGAGGCTCCGCGAAAGCACGAGGCGAGATATCTAGGACAAGTAGTGTTTATACGCTGTAAATTCGTCGCTCGAGATTGTCGACGTCGACATCGTCGTCGTCGTCGTCGTCGCCGTCGCCATCGCCTCGTCTCGCTAAGTTGAACGGAAACACGCTCGAACACACGTTCGTGCGACACACACGGTAGAGAGTACGAGTATTTACGAGTGCTTCGCCTCGTCGCCGGCCAGGAATCGCATACACGCGAGGCATCGCGTTAAAATTCGATCAGATAATCTTGTTTGCGCCACGATTACGGCGACCAAATTCCTTTCCCGACCGCGCGGCATTTTCTCTCAGGACGACGACCACGAATTCGCCGCCGGATGTCAGCGTCCGATTCGAGGGCGCATAAATTTCCAGCTAATCAACGTCCGCCCGAGAAGCGTTCGGCGAGGGCGAGGGTGGCTTTTTGCCCCTTCGCTCGCGAGAGAGCGGCCGCACACTAGAGCTCCGACCTAAATGCGGAACCGGGTCGGATTCAAGTTGGACTCCATTCCGGAAAATCGCGTGTTTGCATTCGCGAATGTGGAACAAGGATGTGCGCGCGTAACCGCTTCACTGATCATTGTGGGACATGTCATCGCGGCGAAACGACCAGACGGTGACAAGGACCGAGACGAAGTTGATAAAGTTCAACCGTGCTCCTGTCGGTATTATATATATATATATGTATGTATATATATATATATATATATATATATATATATATACAGAGTGTCCCAAAACTCATAATCAATCTTTCAAAGACTCTTGGGATCATTTGGAGACGATTTTTCCTCAGCGAAAATGTCGATGAAGGCCATCATTTTTTCCCAATTTTTGTCATCATATGTCTTTGCAATTAAGCCTTAAATTAAAACTCAACTAAAGTAAACTCTATTTAAAATTAATCGAAGAATGTGGTTTTGTTATTATTTTATTTCTACGAAGCTTACGAGAAAACCCTTTTTTCCAATCACTTATAATTCGAAAATTATTAGTGCCTCGACATTTTCGTTGAGGAAAAATCGTCTTCAGATGATCCCAGGAATCTGTCTTTGAAAGATTGATTATGAGTTTTGGGACACCCTGTATATATATATATATATATTTCCAAGACGTTTCGAAAATCTGCTCATGTCTGCAGTGCAGACGGATCTGTCTACAGCAATCGACATTTCCTTCTATTTCTTCAATATTGAAAATCTATTTTAGCTGATATGTTCGAATATTTACTCGAATTTCGTTTTACGATATATGTATATATGAAGCCGTATATATGAAGTCGGATGTATTTATTTTCCTTATATATAGACTAATTTTCCTCTATGTATAATCTTGTAGCGTTTTTTCTATAGCGAATTTAACTGCAATGTATAATAAAAATCCAATATAAAATCTATTTTTATGCGACAGCGGATTTGCGAGAGATATACTCGTCTAGACGAAATTTTCTTCTGTCTGGCAATTATTCGATTGACAATCACTAAATGTGTGTAACCCATCACGTAATTGAACTTCCTGTGATGTGTGATTTTCCTTTACAATTCTCCTCTCTCCTACTTTAATACGATTTACATTTTTTTTACTTTGAAATCATTATATTTTGAATATTAAAGTGCTGTGTCGTAATTGAAAGAATGGGAAGTGTCATTTATAAGTGCTTCGTATAAGACACTGCGAATGGATTAATTATAAGCAATGAAATAATCGCACTCTCCGAGATTATTTCTCATGCGAGAGTCTGCATCCTGGGAAAGATCGGAAACCACTGATCTAACATCGTATCAATCGAATGCATTGTGCGGAGGACGACGAAGGATTTACCGTCATTGGCGAATCGCGAGGATCGTAGAACAATTTGTCCAGAGCTCGCTCGTATCTCCTAGTACTCCAAGTTTCTCTCGAATGCAACGGACCTTCGCGCATAATAGTTTTCCAGGAACGTATACACCGGAAGTTCGCCATTCGTGAGACTACTCAGAGCTCCTCTTTCTCCATCTATGTCCTCTTCCTCTCTCTCTCTCTTTCGTTCCTCTAACAACTATTTGCTTTTCAGGTGACCTTAATCTAGGAAATGGTCACTAAGAGGTATTCTCTCTACAAATGCAACCAGAGAAGAGACGGCTAAAACGAAAGCGAGCAACAGAAAGGTAAAGAGAGAAAGAGAGAGAAGAAGGGTGGATAAGAGAAATGGATGATACTAGCTGGAGATACCGAGATGTAGAAATATTTTTGCTTACATATCGTTGTCCTTTCGATACGCGTATCCTTTTATCTGTACCTATTCGGAACTGAGTAATTGCAAACACGATTATCGAAATAAGTCCTTACGTACGTACAAAGTCACGAATAGCTAAAAGATTGGAGATGAATCTCTCTTTCCGCTTTTAAATACGTGGCTCGTGAAATATTCGCTGCAATTCATTATCTCGTATCACGCGTGTGCACTCTCATTTTACCAGAAGACCTTGCGTATTTATGGAAGAATATAGAAGCTGATTCGCGCATGCACAAAAAGATATTTTTTTCTCCAAACAGACGCTCGTTTTTTTATGCATTTCTGCTCGGATAATTGATTAACTCATCTTATTAAAACATTTCTGTATCGAAAATATGCAACGCGAATTCCCCAGCCTTATTGACAAGGAAACGTGCGTGAAATAAACGAACGAATAACGCGCGATAACGTATTTTCACGCTTGTCGGCGAATGTGCAAATAGCGTGAAATTGACAGGCGGATGCTGCGCAGAGACGGAAATACGCGCTATCTCAAAACTTGAGGATACAACAGGAACATCTAGCGACGAATTTCGCGACGAGAAGGGGAGAGAAAGTATAAGACCGCGACTATTCTCGTGGAAATTCGTCGTAGCCACGAAAAGGCGGAATTCGTAACGACTATCGTCACCGCCGTCTCATCGTCGTCGTCGCCGTCGCCGTCTTCGTCGTCGTCTTCGTCCATGTCATCGTCATTGTCTCCCCGCAGGGCACAAAACGTCGTTCAAGAACGGAGGTTTCTTACCTCCTTGCCGGGAGCTGAAGGCGCCGGTGCTTCCTGCGATGATTAGAAGCAGCAGCCGGCTTAATAAGACTCTCGAGGAAAGCGGCATCTTTCCTATACTCCTCTACCGGCGCTTGCGCGACACGGGCTCTTCTTAGCCGGCTTCCCTCATCACAGCCTCCCTATAAGAATAAAAGATAAGACATGAGACTCAGCCTCGTCAACGAAAATGAAATCTCGCGAGGAGTCTCGTAAGACCCATGGCAATCGTTGAATCACAGCGGATACATATTTGCCGGCTGATTTGAGGACACTTCTGACATTTATTGCATTATAATAAAGCTGTGGAAACTGAAAAGACCAATAATGTCACACTGAGAAAAATCGTTTGATTGTACCAACAAGACGTATATGATTGAAGGCATTTTGGTTCAATCAAACAAGAATTTCAAGTTATCGTGATATAAATATAAGACTCGATTTTTTATAACTAGAACGTTTCATAGATTTTACTATAAGGATTTGGTTAGTATTTTCTGGTTGGATCTATAAAATTTCTTGTTATATTAATTTCTTTGCTTGCTTCTTAACTTAACTCGTATTCAATATTTGCCATGGAATATAAAGAACTAGTATTAACATTAAATCCAAAGTAAATTTTTTTTTACGAGCAGTAGTGCCAGAAAGAGGATGCTAGCTCTCTGATTGTGTGTGTTTGAGCTGCATTCTCTTCTTACATCACTGTTTATCAGTTTAATTTCTAACAAACTAAATTTAAATTAATTTACTCAATAATCTGGATTGAATTTATTCAATAATATTGTTGGAATTCAGAATATTAAACAAACTTTTGAGATTAGATGGAAAAAATTTTAGACGATTTAGTGCTGATGAGTTTAATATTATTATCCAGAAAATTTGATAAATTTGACAGGAAGAAATTAATCAGATTCATTTGGTAATTCCTATAAGAATTCTGGTTTGTCTATTTTCCAACAGATATACTGCTTGAATTTACCAGAATTCTAATTAATTCAACCAGATTTTTTTCTCAGTGTGCCATGAAATATATATAAAGAACTAGTATTAACATTAAATTCAAAGTAAATTTTTTTTTACGAGCAGTAGTGCCAGAAAGAGGATGCTAGCTCTCTGATTGTGTGTGTTTGAGCTGCATTCTCTTCTTACATCACTGTTTATCAGTTTAATTTCTAACAAACTAAATTTAAATTAATTTACTCAATAATCTGGATTGAATTTATTCAATAATATTGTTGGAATTCAGAATATTAAACAAACTTTTGAGATTAGATGGAAAAAATTTTAGACGATTTAGTGCTGATGAGTTTAATATTATTATCCAGAAAATTTGATAAATTTGACAGGAAAAAATTAATCAGATTCATTTGGTAATTCCTACAAAAATTCTGGTTCGTCCATTTTCCAACAGACATACTGGTTGAATTTACCAGAATTCTAATTAATGCAACCAGATTTTTTCTCAGTGCAGTAGCAATTTAACATTAATAATAAAATAAATAAATAAATTGTATGATTTTTATATCGGTACAGAATGATTAATAAGTGATATATCCCTCTGAAATATCAGACAATCCATCTTTTTTCGTTACGGACATTACGGTCACATTTCGGGTAGAAGTCAACCGATGTCACGCTCGCACAATTGAAGAGCGGAACGATTACTCGTTTTCTCATTCGAGATGACCAGCGACCTGTGTCTGACGTTGAATAGTACGACGACAGAATATCGGGTTATCTTTCTCGCCATGTTTTCTCTCAGTTTACTTATTCTCGCCTATTCTTACGTCACGCAAGCACACAGCGGAAGAGAGAATACGAGAACAAAGTAGATTCAGAAGGCGAGACAGGACGCCCGGAGGGACGGGGAGGGAAAAGGCAGGGAATCCCCCCTTTGGATGGCCCCCGGGGCGCGTTGGGTTTCCATTATGCTAAACCGCAAATGGAGTCCTGCGATCGAGTGTCTCTTCGCGGCCGACCCCCGAAGGCGCACACAATGGCGCCCGTGGCAAGGCTCCTAAGGTGTAATGTTACGTAGAAATTAAATTCGCCCATATTCTCTTCCGCTGGTGCACGCGATACGTCTTTTCGCTCGCGGACAACTCCGTCGACGACGACGACGTCGACGACGACGACGACGACGCTTCGTGTATTCTCTCCCCCGCGTCACCTCGAATTCGTCAGCGTCGCCTCGCGACGAAAAGCATCAGCCGGCGCGACACTCGAGCTTTTTACGCGAAAACGCATTTGCGACGATGATTTCTATGGTTTTCCCATGAAAAATGGCTCTCACGTCGAATCGCACCCGAGGATATTAATAGATCGACGTATATTCAGACTTTACGTAAAAGAAAATTTTTACGATTCAACAGTTCTTTTTATTCTTCGACAAATGTGGCATCGAATCTTTCTTATTCGAGCGATAATACACAAAGCTATTTGGTACATTGAAGATTAAACTGTTTCAACGTAATATCTCCAACTGTTATTAATTAGAAATTAAATTTAAATAAAGAGATTTTTCACTTTTATTTTTTTATTCTCCGACAAATGTGGCATCGAATCTTTCTTATTCGAGCGATAATACACAAAGCTATTTGGTACATCGAAGATTAAACTATTTCAACGTAATATCCCCAACTGTTATTAATTAGAAATTAAATTTAAATAAAGAGATTTTTCATTTTTATTTGCAATATTATAAATCATATCAAAATTTTTTTTCGTGCGTTATTTCGAAGATTTGCTATGCAGGCAGTTTCATAAAGGAAACGCGACGTATGCACAACCGACGAATATCGGTGTTTGAGATTTTCCACGATGCAGCTTTTCCTCTCAAGGACTCGATTACAGGCGAACTATTTTATTTGGGTACCGCAAACTCTTTTTCATATCAAATTCTTTTTTTCTTTGTCATGGCTAGCAACGAAAACTTGTTATATCGTACTTTTACAAGACATGCGCAATGCTTTTACCGCACATTTTCAATACTTTTTTAGTTCCCCTCGCGCATACAGCTTATAAGCGTTTGATCGATTTTGAGTAGACGTTAGATTCGCAGCTTTGATACTGAGCGAAATCAACATACGTAATATATCCATTTCCCTCTTGGAAATGTCGAATATTTAAATAAATATTTAAGTAAATCGTGAATATTTAAATAAATATTTAAATAAATATTTAATATTAGTAATATCAAGCAAGAATCTTTCGATAATTAAGTTGTTGTAAATGTTTTACAAGAGAGAAAAATATATATAACAAATTAGAGTGAGAAAAATATATATTAATACGTGTAAAAAATTTCAATGTAACTTATTTATTGTACATTACATTTCCTTTGCGTGCACGAAAATTAAAAATATAATTGGCAAAATGTATAACCAGAACAGACAAGAAAAATTCGAATAACATTGAAAGATGGAAATTATTTTTTCGAATAACTAATTGCGACATCCAATGCGGAACAAAAATAATTTTCCTACTAACTAATGCAGCGAATAATTAAGACGATAATAAAGTTAAATTAAAATCTGAAAGAGAGAGAGAGAAAAAAAGAGATTATATCTCTACCAGGACTACAAGCGAGGACCAAAGATAGAACTTGGGAATGAAAAGCTAATTTCATTTCAGAGAGAGTTGATTTCGCTGTCGCAATATTTGCGCGGAAAAATTTTTATGGCTTTCATAGCACAACGAGTTCAAATCGCAACTCTTGCGGTAAATCATTACTATTACATTTCTACTTCTTCCTCGGCATTACGCATCGTAAATGAACATAAAAATTAAGATGAGTTTTCCATCTCAAAAAAAAAAAAAAAAATAAAAAAAAAAAAAAAAAAAAAAAAAAAAAAAAAAAATTAAAAAAAAATATCAGAATAAATAGAATTAAAATTAAAATGTTGGTTCAACGTTTACCTGCTACGTCGTATGTTTAGAAGACAAAGAATAACAGGCTGAGAAGGAAGAAAGAGAAGACGAGAAAGACGGAAAGCAAGAGATAAGACCGTCCAACAACATTGTTTCTTCCCTTGGAACATCCTTGTCGTTTTAAAGCCAGCTTCGCGCGGAAGCGCAGCTTCCGCAGGGAAGCTTCCGCTTTGACGGTTTTCTTATTGATCGCGCAAATTGTATTCCTTGAACGAACCTAAGGGATTGCAATATTGGCGCGACGCGATTGGAATGATATTATCGAAAGCGATGCGACAAATTGAAAACCAAGAACTGATAGAATCTCCCAAAGTCGAGATATAAACAAGTTCATGAAACACGCGCTTTGTCAAATAATGATGTACGCACTGAGAAAAATCGTTTCATTGTACCAACAAGACGTATATGATTGAAGGCATTTTGGTTCAATCAAACAAGAATTTCTAGTTATCTATGATAAGACTCGATTTTTTATAACTAGAACATTTAATAGATTTTACTATAAGAACTTGGTTAATATTTTTTGATTGAATCTATAAAATTTCTTGTTACATTAACTTCTTTGCTTGCTTCTTAACTTAACTCGTATTCAATATTTGCCATGAAATGTATATAAAGAACTAATATTAACGTTAAATTCAAAGTATATTTTTATTTCTTACGAGCAGTAGTGCCAGAAAGAGAACTAGCTCTCTGATTGTGTATGTTTGAGCTGCATCCTCTTCTTGCATCACTGTTTATCAGTTTAATTTCTAACAAACTGAACTTAAAATAATTTATTCAATAATCTGGATTAAATTTATGCAATAATCGTGTTGGAATTCAGAATATTAAACAGACTAAACTTTTGAGATTAGATGGAAAAAATTTTAGACGACTTGGCGCTGGCGAGTTTAATATTATTAATCAGAAAATTTGGTAAATTTAGCAGGAAGAAATTAATCAGATTCATCTCGTAATTCCTACAAGAATTCTGGTTCGTCCATTTTCCAACAGACATACTGGTTGAATCTACCAGAATTCTAATTGATGCAACCAGATTTTTTTCTCAGTGCGTAACTCTTTTACTGATTGATGTTGATTTCTCTGCGGAAAATGAAATATATTGTTTGCAATATTATAATGATATATCAGATTCATCTGGTAATTCCTACAAGAATTTTGATTCGGCCATTTTCCAACAAACATACTGATTGAATGTACCAGAATTTTA